TTGAAGGCCCCGCAGAATGCGGCTGCGTGGGTCGGCGTTGACGGGGATTCCTGTAACAGGGCGCTGCTACAGGTTGGTGTGACGACGCTGGTACGTGGATAACAAGAAGCACTGCTTCTGGTTTGTCGATTCCATCGTAATGTTCAAGCTTGCTTCAGGTGTTGGTCTTCGTCTGACTAACTTTCTGACCTTCCAGATCAATTCGAATGGCCAACAGATCACGGAGGCCTGGTGGCAGTGGTGGCCGTCGGCTGCGTATTCCATCACGAGCTTTCCCACTGTCCCAGGTGATTGGCTTGCGGTCAATATCACCATCACGTCGTCCACTTTTGCTTCGATGTATGTAGTGCCTAGTTGAAAGCCATGACATTTTGACTTGAGCCACGCTGACAATCCACATTTGACTTGGGGCAGCAAAATAATCAACACCCAACGAGGATACACGATGTCCTTCAACGTTTTCGATGGAGTGGCTCTGTGTCGTAAGAATGCCGCGTGGATCGTCGAGGACTATTACGACGGGGCTGGAGGCATCAACATGGCCGGCTTCAACAATGTCTGGTTCGAGTACACGGCAGCAACCACGGTCGCAGGCACCAAGCTGGGCGTGGACGGAGGGGTCTTCTGGAACATCCAGAACAGCACAGGCCAGCTCAAGTGTACCTCTCAGAAGTACGACAACTCGAATCTCGTTATCCGCTCGGTGATATAGAAGTGCAGGTAGACGGAAAGGGATGTCGCGGCAAGATGAGTTGGGGTGGTTCGCAGTAGACTGGCCGTGCGAGTAGCAATCTAGGTAGATCGAACTGTCCAACTTCATCCGAAAAAAGACTGGAGCTTTGGCACTTGGAAACGATCGCTCAGATGGCTGACTGGAGCTCCAGCCACTCAGACGGATGCCGCGAGAGTTGACGCGTACCAGACTTTCAGGCACCGCCTCGTGGTGAGCGGGACTTGCGGGGGGGAATGCGAAACAAGCTTTCTTGAAACTGGCTGGATACGAGAATGGTTTGGAATGTTAGAGTGGAGAGGTGCTGGATGAGCAATTGAATGAGTTATCATGTCCGTGCTGTGGTTTCATGGTCGCTTTGGTGGTGTTTGGTCCTGAGTCGAATCGGTCGAAGAAGCGCTGATGGCAAGAGGTTGGTCAATGCGTCCGAACGAAATGGGACTGGATCAGTCCAGGGTTGCTGTCCGCTCCAGCACCCCTCAGCGGCATCTCAGGGCAGGAACCCACTGTTTCCGCAGCGGCCCGGGCGACCAATGTTTAGCAGAATCCTTGCCAAGAAACAGGGCTATTCCTGAAAAAAGGGGTCTTGTCCATCCAGCCGTCGAGGTTCTTTCCAGAATTCATGTTCCTCCCACACCCGCCGCACCTGCCGCGATGGCGGTTTGATGTCTGCAGGTACGATCGAATCAATGGCGAGAAGGGCCACAGTACGGCAGGTACCAGATCACTATTCTACCGGTGAAGAGCCGCATTCCGCTCTCGACTTTGTGAAGAACCTCATCACGGCTTCCCCAAGTCGGACCGCAATGGCGCAACCCCCGAGACGAAGGCGGCCATTTTTAGACGAGCGGCTAGTTCGAGTTTTTCACCAAGTGCCAGGCTTTTCTTCTTTTTTTGCCCTTCTCCCCCACAGTGGTGAAATTTGACTCCATTTCGGGCTGCCACTCGCAATGCCCAAGCTGGTCTCGCCAAAGAAAAACGCGATTGCCATACACTCCTGAGATGGCTTTCTTTGGGGGTTTCTCTTCCGCTGTGAATCCTGGCTGTCAACAATATCGATCCTCATGACTCGTGGATCTCCAGGGTAGACCTCCGCCAGCAAAGGCGACATCGATCGATCGAAACCGGAAACCATCACTGCTCTCTCAGTCGCACAAAAAGCAATTGGGAGTCGTCCCTTAAAACCAAGGGCCTTTGAAATGATCAAGGTTCAGTGGTGTTTACCGATATAGTAAACATAAATACTCCGGTCGTTGCAATTTCTGGTTATCATGCTTATCGGTATCTCTCTTCGAAACTCAGCCAGAATCTCCTGATGGGTGATGGTCGACAATATCTTGTCGCAACTTGGTGGCCGGAGGCTTTACAGGGAGTCGCTAACAAAATTAGGTGAAGCCGAGCGCAGGAGCTGTTAAACGAGTTCCCCTTTTCGCTATTTCAGTTTCTGACCCCCGCCGTGGCACAACTTGCGGAGCCACTTCGGACAAAGGCGGTGGATTTTTTGGTGGAGACAACACAGGCCTTAGGCAAGGAACAGGATTCAATGACGTGTGTCGGTGCCGCTGTTCACTGTTGCGACTGCCAGAACAACCAAAAACCCTGGGAGCCAAACCTGGAAGCGGAAGTTGCGAAACTCCAGAGTCCCACTGAAGTGGCGGAAATGCGGTAACTTCCACTAACCTTCGAGTCCCTTTTTGGCAGGAAAAAAAAACTGACAATGGCGGCATGTTTACCTAGGTTGGCACTCGACGAGTGCCCGTGCCGCTTGCAACCACCTGCAACCAGCATGCACAATGGAACCTCAAGCGATTTTGACATCTCTACACACAGCTGGAGACTGCTTTGCTTCCACCGGCTGTCAGCCATCACATCAAAAATTCTACGGCGTTGCTACCGGCCAGTTCTAATCTGTGATTCCCATACTCCATGACGGACTCCCAGGGGCAACTGGACACGACACCGACGGCTCCGATCCAACTCAAGCTTGGCAATATGCGTCGACTGTTCTAGCCGCCACAAAGCACCTCACCAGGCCTTACCTCAGACTACCTAAGATCACCCAAGATGCTAAACAAAGTACGCGCTCTCGGCGCTATCTGCAGTCGCACTTGGCGCACGGGAGAGATCGGGGAATACGAGTTGATATGATATCACAACCTCAAAAGTCGCAACACTCTGCCCTGGTTTCCCTGGCCGGAACTGTTCAACGAAACAAAGCCTCACACGAGTCGATTATACCGTCATTGGATGTTTCGAGACTCTTGGGAGAAGAGGGGGACTGCGACCCAAGACCCTTTTTTGCCAAAAGACAGCAAAGGACAAGTCCAACAAGACAAGCGAGACAGGGCCAACACAGGGCAACACAGAATTTAACAGGATATGGTTGACATGTTTGAATCTTCTAGGTGGGCCCTTGGTGGAATCGCCCTTGCGGATGCCCTGTTTGGGTTAACCGATCGTCGCTTCGATCTCCACTAACCCGCCGCCCGGGGGGGTCGGGGCCTTCAACACTAACACCACCATCGACGCTAACACCAACAATTCGTACACGGTACCTGGCCCTAGCTGCCCTGCTGCCAATTCTTCCTCGCCGTCTACGCAACTTCACCAAAGTCACTAGATCTTCCAATGGTGATGACAGGGACACCAATCTCAGAAAAGGGACCAATGCGCAAGAGCAAGTACAGGTACTTCTCTGCAGCAAATGTGGGATGACAACTCCATGCTTCCAGCCTCAGCACAGTAGAGTACCTAGAGAGCGGAAGTGGGCGAGCTGGGCATCTTATGTTAATTTTTTTCCTTCACTCATGGTTCAAGTTCTTGGCCAGGATGTGTCATATCTACTCCATCATACATAGGGACAGTCCACTCTTGTCTCCTGTTGTCCAATCTCTATTCTCTTCTTTTTTTACTCGCTCAATCTCGGTGCTAGTGTACATATCACCACCTCTACATATCTTTTCCCTCTTTGTCCAAGGCCAGAACCTTGCCTCCTCAACTCCTTTATCTCCATCCCTGTTGTTGATCAACGTCTGTTGATGGCCGACCCCCACGACTCAAGCTAACTCTCAGGACACATCACGGGCAGTACGGGCACCTCTACTCCTCCCGAGATTATCATTCACCTTATTTCTCCTTCTTCCTCAGTTCCACGTTTCTGAGTCTCTCCATCGACGATCCGAACCCAGCACTGGAGCCTCGTCGTCATTAGCACCAGAGCTCCGGATTCCTCAACCATCTCTTACATCAGCAACCTTGAGACACTTGTGGAAAAGGCAAAATACTAGCCCTCTCACCCGTGAGAGGGCGTTGCCGTAGCCATGGTTTCTCCCCGGGATCAGGACGAAATCGGCGGGCCCAGCAACAGCCGGAGTGGAAGTGATAGTGAGACTACTCTCCAGGGCGGAAATGGGGTAGAATCTGGGAGTAGAAACGGGGAGGGAAGCGATAGCAGCAGTCAGAATGCCAGCGCCAACGTCAGCGCAAATCTGACCCCTCAACTGGAACAACCGCTACTCACACCACAGATCCCTATCCCTCACCTCCAACTTCCAAAGGGAAAAGAGAAGAAGAGAGTTGGCTTCCTCAGCGATAGACCACCAGCCCAGGCCGGCGGCCCTCCAGCCCCCCAGGTAGTCGTCACTCCAGATGGACAGGAGTATGCTGCGGAGGATTACTTCTCTTCGCCCATCAACGAATATGACTTTGCCACGACCCCTCCAACCCACTCCTTCGCGACTCAAGGAACGAAGCGCGACTCTTTTAATAAGGATGAGATCACTGCTGCCCTAGCCGAGATTCTGAGGCCCGAGCTTCACATTCAGGGCAGTTCCGCCCATCCCGTCCGGCCTCGTCCTGTTCTTCGGAAAAACACTACTGTTCCCAATCCCCAGCCCGATATGCTCAAGCCTCCCCATCGATCCGAGGTGGAGGCACGCAACCGCGCCGACAAGCTTGCCCACGCCGTCGGTACTTCATCAGCTGGTGCGTCCCGAAGAAGCTCGTTCGCCGGCAATGATACTGACTCCGGAGACGAAGCTACTCTGAACGGGAACGTGCCGGCAATCGGTACTTCTGTCAGTCGCGACTTCGAGGCCCAGGAACAAGACGACTTTCACAGCCTCCGGGCTCGCAGAAAATCACAGCAAGTTGCCAATGACCTCGTTCGGAACCATACACGCCGCATTAGCGCCTTCAACGCTCTCAACCGCCCACAAACCGCCGTCAGCACGCACGCATCCGGAGCTACCACGCCAGTCCCTCACGACCTGGACTATGTACCTCGCCCAGAAAAGTATAGGGGTGGTATTCTGGGGAACTTGCTCAAGTTATACAACGCAGACGAGAATACGGGAGCAGCAACGCCTGGTGGCTCCAGTACCATGACCACCCCGACTCAAACACCGAACAGAACGCCAGCGTCGAGTCCTCCTACCTCCAGGCCCAGTACTCCCAAGTTGGAAAAGGACCGGGGGAGACACCGCGGGTTTCGGTCAGCGTCTACATCAAGGCTTATGGAATCATCCTTCATGTTTGCTGTACCCGGTGCTGCAAAAGAGGTGTCTGAAGCCACGCAAAAGGTCAGGGAGGAAAAGGATAAGACCAAGAGACGGTCGAGGTCGAGACTCCGAGCCGACAAGCAAAAACTGGAAGAGTTCCGCATCACCAAACACATTGCAGAGATTATCAGCCGCCACCGGTACCTATTGAAGCTGTGCAATGCGTTGATGATGTATGGTGCGCCCACACATCGGTTGGAGGCTTACATGAGATCGTCCGCCCGCGTCCTTGGCATTGAAGGCCAGTTCATGTACCTGCCGGGAACCATGATCATCTCATTCGACGACAGCAACACCCACACCACCGAGATGAAAATTGTTCGCAGCAATGCCGGCGTCGACCTCGGAAAACTACGCGACGTTCACGAGGTTTACAAGGAGGTCGTTCATGATCTCATCAGCGTTGACGAGGCTACATCCCGATTGAACGATATCACGAATCGGAAGAACAAGTATCCTACTTGGTTGCGTGTGGTGCTCTTTGGCGTGGCCTCCGCGACAGTCGCCCCTTTTGGTTTCGAGGGTCGGTACATCGATATGCCCATCGCTTTCATCCTCGGGTGCATGGTTGGTATCTTGCAACTTTATATTGCGCCTGCGAACGAACTGTACGCAAACGTCTTCGAAATCACGGCCGCTCTCGTCACCTCCTTCTTTGCGCGTGTTTTCGGATCGATCCACAATGGACAGCTGTTTTGCTTCTCCTCACTTGCACAGTCGTCAATTGCTCTGATCCTTCCGGGTTACATGGTACTTTGTGCAAGTCTGGAGCTACAAAGTCACTCCATGATATCCGGTTCGGTCCGCATGGTTTACGCACTGATTTACTCGCTGTTCCTTGGTTACGGAATTACTATCGGGTCCGTTATCTACGGATATATGGACGACAAAGCCGTTAGTGCCGTGCATTGTAGTATTGGTCCTGAGTGGTACAGTAAACGGCCAGACCAAAACTATTACATCCTATTTGTATTGCCTTTTACCTTGTGTCTATGCGCCATCAACCAGGCCAAGTTCAAGCAGCTTCCAGGTACGCATCATTTTCTTCCCCCCTAGTATCCACGATAACGTTGCTAACGATCTCTACAGTCATGGTTGTCATCTCACTGGCAGGCTACTGCGTGAACAACTTCTCATCGAGATACTTCTCAGGAAACACGACCCTTTCGAACTCATTAGGTGCCCTCTGCATCGGAGTCCTGGCGAACCTCTACTCGCGGGTGGGACGCGTAGTGCTAAACACGATACTCGATATCTGGGAAGGGATCTTTCAGCCGCGCATCGCTCGTCTCAAGGGAAAGAACCACAGGCGTTTATACTCCACCGAAGGAGGATCCAACAGCTCGTTCCGCAAAGACACAGACCCAGAAATGGGCCTACCGACAGAAAAGCCCTCCGCAACCCCTCACAAGCACACCCGCCGCATCGGATACGGGCTTGCAGCCGCCGCTATGCTGCCCGCCATCTTCGTGCAGGTCCCCTCAGGCCTGGCTGTCAGCGGCTCGCTCCTCAGTGGCGTTCAGAGTGCCGACCAAATCACCCGCAACGAGACTCTCTCTGCCGACGGACAGACTTTCACTCCAGCCACGCAAGCGCAAACGGCAGATCTGAACAGCACGGCATTCAACGTCTTGTTCAGCGTCATCCAGGTTGCTATCAGCATCTCGGTTGGACTTTCGCTGAGCGCGCTCATTGTTTATCCGTTTGGCAAGAGGAGAAGCGGTCTCTTCAGTTTCTAAAATTTACACTTTTAACATTACATACAACAAGCACATAAAGCTGGATAGAGATGCCCCACTGAGAGAAAGAAAGAAAGCCCCCAAAGCGATGGTCATTGATGAAAAATGACTCGGGGTTTATGTTTATGAAAAAGGGGCCGGTGGTGTCGAGAGCGTTTTTTTGGATATGCATAACTTGGGTTTCTCAGTAGCATTTTCATGGTTGTTATTTTCATTTTTTCTTCTTTCGTTGGGAATGATCATGAATGATGGCGTTACTGGGTCTTTTTGCATACAGGCATTCTCTTTCCATTTGTCTGGCTAGACCGATTGGAAAGATCAGAGGTAGACGGTATAAAGCGCAAAATACAAGTAGCTACACAGCGTCATATGGGTCACGCCACAATGTTGGTGGTTAGAAGAATAATAGAAGCTGGAGAACTTTGGATCAGACAAACAATAAAGGCCAAAGGTCGTTGAAAGGACTGCCTCTATTTCCCCAAATGCTTGAATGTGGACTTAATATCACCTCGGGATAGAAACCATCATTCTTTCTACCCACTGTAGGAAAGGATACAGGTTATGAGCACCGCAAAACATGCCCCTGCCCTCACTCGCAAATTTTAGTCACAAATCCCCCGATTCCGATCGTCCTCCAGTCCTTCGGCTTTCAAGCCCGGGAGCCCCACATATCCCGATCCGCCGCCGGATACCCATCCAGTCACTTGTATCCACCTCCGAAACATCCGGCTTATCAAAGCTCTCCCGTTGAGGGCAGGCGCGACTATTACCTCTCAGTCGGAAGACCGTACGAAGCGGCAGGAGCAAGACAAGAATGACCCCAAGATATACATCAACAAACAGGTGCAGCATTCGAAGGAATTTGTATTTATCGACCAAAAACAAACAAAAATAGAGACAGAAATCATTAGATCAAATGAGGGACGCAAAGAAGAAGCACAAAAAGAAGAAGAAGAGACGATCCGGATGGGACTGAACCCACAACCTCAGTCTTATCCTCCCGAATTAGGAGGACCACACGATGCCATTTCGCCACCGGACCATCAGTTATTGAAAGTTGAAGCTTAGAGACTAATACCTATCTAGATCGACAGGAATTGCGGAAGTGCTTGCTGACTACCTAACTACGCCAAAAGATTTCGGTCCGGGTATATATTCTTCGCAGCGACATGATGCACTCTGCTTCAAAACCACATTCGTCGCCTTATGGTTCAATGTTTTATCCAGGTACTTAGAGGTACGTGCGATAGAATCGATATCCAGGGGTTTGTCGGCGCTAGCTTAGGTGTCCTACGAAGCATTTACTGTTTATTAGTGCTGACGGGTTTAATTTCCGTTCTGCCTTTAGCGCCGGTCAGACACGATGTGCTGAGACGCTCGCTCGCGTGTTATATTTATATATCCCCAATCGCGACGGTAGTACATTCTTCTTCTCGTCTGCTCTAGTTTCCCGTCCTGCATCTTCCCTTTGCACGGCAAGGTCCGATAGTCAGACACCATGCGGTCATTCGTCATGGCGGGCTCGCACCCTATTTGGTGCTTCATCACTCCTCTCTTATTGACCTCAACTTTGGCCCAAGCTGCTCGTGAAGCTGTTCACAAGCCTCAATACGTCCAGGAGCCCACCATTGTCGAGTTCGACGGCATTTTCCCCGTCATCGAAGAAACCTACGCCCCAGCCTCCGCCTTCCCGCTCGTCCTGGCTGTCCAGAACGCCACAGCAGCCCTTGCACTCCGTCCCCAAGTGTATTGGTATCTTCGAACGGTGCCGGAGGATATGCACCACGAGGATCCAGCCACTCTCGAGTACTTGTTTAAGCAGCCCGCTATCGAGTCGGGCGTCATGACCGAGCTAGGCTGGAGTCTGCCCGACGGTGCCCCGTCCAACTTCTCAACCGACAACCTTAAGGACGGCGTCTACTACTACACGGCCTGGACGGGAATGCTCAACGACACGGTGCCCGAGGGCGTATATTCCGTCACGTGGCTCATCAACTACGTAAACTGCACCGACCTCGTGGACCCAGATTGGCAATCCAACCCGTCGTCGGCGAGCCTGGTGGTGCACCACACCTTTTACGTCGAGAAGGGCAACAAGGGCACCGCCAAGAAACCCGACCTGAGCGAGCTTGCGGCCTCTTCTCCCGATTGCCCGTACTACAGCACTGTAGTCCAGGTCCTGGGCGAAGCGTGGATGGAGGAAGGGCATGATGGTCATGATTATCACATTTGTGCCCGGCTGGCGGGTTGGGGAACTTTTTCGTTGCCGCGGGATAGCTCGTGTCAGGCTAAGCTTGGTCTAGAAGCTGCGGCGAGTATTTCGGCTGGGGCGCCGACAGGATTCGAACTTGCGGCGACGGCGACGACGACGGCGACAGCGACAACGCCGGCAGTAACAGTGGCTAGTGGCTCAGCTGAGTCTGCCGCAATTGCGGAGGAGCCGAAGAAGGAAAGTCGGGCGTGTAGGGCTGGGCCGGGGTCGTCGTCGTCATTGTTGGGGTCGTGGGTAGCGGTAGGGGTAGGGCTCATCACGCTTTTCATGGTGGTGTGAGCTTCATCGATGCTGATGGACTTTACTCCAACGGGTGTAAGGCTGAGATTGCCTAACGAAGGAGAGCAAAATCTGACGCGGAGGTCTTGAACCAGCTTGTTTAAGGTACCTGAGTGTAAGCATGGCGTGCTGAAAGTTCTTTCAAAAAGAAAGAACCCGTTGGTTCCATGTGAGAATACTGTGCAGAGACACTTCTAGGCCTGACGAGTACTTGGTGCCGAGTCAGTGACCAGTATCATATTTGTTTTTGTAGCAAGGGAAGGTGCGAGTGGAGTGATACTCGTGATTGAGACCGGAAGCAAGGGGAAGAAGGTAGAATGCGGCTACCCGTTGGCGAAAATAAAGGAAGGAAACGGGAAGACACACTCTAGCAGTACAGAATGCGGGAAGTGGAGACGCCGGCCACGACTCCAACTGGCATCTTCTAATGCCCTCCAAGTCAGAAGCTTGGTCTCCTTCTCGTTTGGTTATTTGTTCCTTCTTTTGCCTTGCTCCTAGGCGTCTCCCTCGATTCAATGAGTTATTTTTTTGTTGATGAGCAGTGTCTTTGGATGTTACATCTCTCGAACAATATCCCATAATGTATTATATGCCTTGTAGCTTTTGCGCGATCAAGCTGTCTGTACGCTGCCTAAGCAAGGAAGGATCGCTTTATTGAGGTGCTGTTTGGGATTGAGGGTTTGGTGATTGGTGTTGGATGTTGGACGTTACCTGGTAACCGTTCGTTGGTCGTTCTACGTCGGTTGCGTTGGGCGCTTAGAAGAGTAAAAACCAGGACGGGACAGGGAAATCCCCTATGATAAGTAAAATCGGACAAAGGAAGGTATTATGTACATTGTGAGTACGAACATTGAGGATATACCTAAGCGCCCATACAGTCCGCTACATTCATTCACTTTGTGCCGCAGGCCCAACGCCCAATCCCCGAGATCGCCAACGACAGTTGCAAAAAAAACGATGAAAAATGTAAGAGAATCAGGCGAAGGTCTGTCGACGAATTCGATGGTTCGGATGTTGGATGTAGAGTCATGAGTTCCTTGCCCATGGTGGTGGCTATATGATGCATCTTCGTTTCTTTTAGGTAAGTGGACTAAAGACTCCTTCTCCAAGTTCTTCTTTTCCTTCCTCTCTCCTGCATGCCGTGATTTCCTTTTTATCCCTAGACGTATGACTCAAAAGTGTGGATATGTCAGTCATCGAACTCGTCTTTGATGGAAAAGGCGAGTTCCTCATCAGAGACACTCTAACGAATATGCCCCTAATTTTAGAAAATCGATGATGATGTACGACTCTATGACATCAATCGTGACGAGACAAGTCAACTATCAACCACCACCTCCACCATCTCTCAAACCTTCCACCAATTCCCTCTCCTGCCCACCGAGCTCCGCCTCCAAATCTGGAAATTAGCAGCAGAAGAGGCATGCTGCCACCGAAAGGTCCACCGCCTGCGGTTGGAACTTGCGCTTCTTCCTGCCTCCTCCACAACTCCCAACACTGAAATCAGGAAGATGCCACAAGCGCCCAAGCCAGTCCTAGTCCTTATTCCCACAACATCGCTCAAATATTCCACTTCCCCTATTCGTAACCTTCTAACCGCCTGCTCCGAGTCCCGCTCCTCAATCCTCGACGCACCCCAGCCTTTTCTACCTCACCAAATAATCCTCCGCCCTCCCACCGGCCAAAACTGCGGGATCCTGCGCTGTAACTTCTCCCGAGATGTCATTTTGCTGGAGAACATCTCCGACCTACTCCTTGTGACCTCGAAGATCTTGTTGAGCGGTAGGGACTACATCTACTCCTTCAAAACACTCCTCGGTCAGCTGCAAGGCGTGGAGAATCTCGGTTTGGATTTCTTGGGGAGTCACACTGCGTATGGAAGTCTGCCTGATCCTCCAACGATGAGTTCGGCGTTTGCGGGGGCTGTGTGGAAGCTGGCAAATGCGTTGGGGAGGTTGAAGGGTGTTTGGATTTATGCCCCTCGTGCCAAGCCTGGGAGGGTGTGTGAACTGGATGGTGATGATGAAGAGGACGAAGTTGTTTATGGCAAGAAGAGTGCTGCTGGGTTCAGTAATGGGGATGTGGCCGGGGGCAAATCCGAAGCTGGCAACATTCATGCTTCCTCTGATTTGATGGATGATGCAGACTCGCAGTATATCAACTGGTATGGCGGGGAATATGCTGGGGACATGGAGTCTGAGGCAGAAGCAGAGGGGTGGTGGCGAAGGGTGCCATATCACGAGCTCTTGCGGTCATTGGAGCAAGTTGCTATCCATTTGCAGGATATGTTGCAGTTGCCGCCGAGCTGCTTGGATATGATGACGGAGTTGGAGGCAGTTCAAAGTTCGGTTACCGTGGGTTGGTTGCAGAGAGTGAAGGTCGGAATTCTAGGGCACTTTGAAGGCAACTGGTGCTTCAAGAGGGATATGACGATGGCCGTGCCGTTGCTGGGCGAAGACTTGGTTTCTTGGATGCGACTACATTTGGACGGCGGGGGAGGAGGATGGCACGTGGAAAGCCATTATAGTGATGATGACTGGGAGGAGAGTAATGGCCTGTGGAGTTGGAGGCAGATAACGGAGAATATTTATAGGTAGACCAGCTTATGGATGAGACAGAACCTTGGTTAGTCGGGTGAATGCAGCTGGCTGCGGAACCCTGAACTCAGACGGTTTCCATATACACAGAGCGAGGCTTGACACAGTACACCGAGCGGTGATGATGTCTGGATAGGTGGGCGAAAACGGAAGAGTTGATGGTGATTCGCTGTGATTCGCGAGAACTAATAGTAGTTGGAGTTATGTGTAGCAAATATATATACACCAACACCCGAGGTCTCCATTTGAACACCCGTGATGATCTTTCGATGTTTCCGATGTGGTTTCTCTGCACTATCGAACCATTCCGCCCAATACCGTTCCCACTAATTAGGCCCAAGGCGTTGCTCGATGCATCCAACCGTCTATGGTACCATTTTGGCCACCGCGGAGCCCGGTATAATCAGTCCAGTCTATCCGAAATTGGTTGGCGGGGGAAAAACTCGTAGAGATGGGAACGTGGAAGCATAGCATCGAAGTGCGGCACCGCTGAGAACCCTCCCAGTTGGATCGCGTATAAAATGATACCAGTTAGCCATTGCTGTTCCCATGAAGCTTCTCCAACACGTTGATTCCAAGAACGTAGTGTAATTCAAGCCCGCTTGAAAGCAAAAGATGGGTGCGTGCCCATTGGCACTTCAAAAATTGGACCACGGCACTCCCTCATGGCCTCGAAAAGCTCTTCTGGTACTGCTCCAGCTTCGAGTCGAACGAGGTGAAACTACTAATCTTCTCCTTCCCGTTCTTCACGACAGGCTCTTCCGTCACCAAAAGCTCATCACCGCCGTCATCCGAGTCACTATCCGGTGTCACGACTGCGGCTTCTGGCTGTAGCTCGTCAATATCGCCTTCGAAAGCCTCAGCAACGCTAGAGTACTGTGGCTGCGAGAAATACGACAGCATCGACCGCTGTGTTTTCTTTGGAGGCTTCAAGACCCCGGCTTGCTTCTTCTTCAGGTATTTCTTGATGAGGCTCTGGTCCTCGATGTTGTCTTCAGGTTCCCATGTGGGGTTCTGGTCGGGCGGCCATTCGCCTTCCCAGAGGACTAGATACTTGTGAACCTTGACGCCGAACTCGGTTACCCATTGGTCGTCGAGTAGTTCTTTAACTACCCAGGAAGCAACGGGTTCATCGATCTGAAGCTTGTTCTTTTGCTTTTTATTCGGTTTTGACTGCTCGTCTTTGCGACGCTTCCTCGCGCTGGAGGACTCATTCTGCTTGGATAGAGAGTCAGAAGTGACTAGCGGTTTGGAAACTGCAATAGGGACTGCAAGAGGCGTGAAAGATATTGGCTTGACATGTGCTGGGTGTGGCAAAGGATGCACTGCTGTCTTAGGAACCGCCTTGAACTGACGTGTGCTGTCTCGAGACGGAGAAGCCCGTGCAATGGCCTCTGTCTTCCCTCCAAAGCCAAGCGAATGACCTACCCCATTCTGGCCTGCCCATTTCTGGGTGCCATGTCCACTGACAGAGCTTCGTCCTGCCTCAATGCTGCGGGCAAACATGGGATGAATCCTTCCTGGGGTGGAAGCGACGCTCGATGAGGGGCGCGCGGTAACTTTGCTCTTGTCGCCTAGGCTTATCACTGTTGGTTTGGATGGGCCGGCCACGGGCTGTTGCGCAGATACTGAGCTACCAGCCCGTGAAAAAGATGACATTCGGTGGCCTACGTCGTCCGCCAGAGGATCGGCCGAATCGTAGCCCTCCAGGTCCGTGCCGCTATCCTCTACCTCGCTGGCAGCTGCCGACTCGTTCTGTAGTTGGAACCGGATGGCTGCTTCGTCCGAATCGTCAAACCGGGGGATTTCCGCCCGCTTTCGCTTCTGTGGGGTAGCCAGCGAGGGACCGCCAACAGCCTCCTGCTTGGCCAACAGGACGTCCCCTTCTTGCATCGATATGACAGGCTCCGCGGGTGCGTCCAGCGCTGGGTCGTTCAGGCGAGCCTTGGGAGGGCGCCCAGTTTTCTTCTTGACGGGAGCCTGCCCTTGGCCCTTGCGCTTCTTCTCGGCTTCGATAGCCTTCTCCGCTTCCTTAATTTCAAGAGCTTCATATTCGAATTCCTCCACCTCGCGAGGAGATACGTATTGGAGGGCTTCGTCGCAGGGCACTAGAAGCCTGGCAGCGGGGATGTCGGTAAATCCGATGTGGTAGAAGATACGCCGTCGAGAGTCTGGCTTTGTGTCCTTAGGCGCTGGCAGGACAAACTGGTCGATGATGTATGCGGTCGAGTCTCGAGGCGGCGCGAGAGTAATAGGAGGTGGTGGTGGACCCGAGCCACGGGTGTACTTCTTGATCGAAGAGAGAGGTACCTCGATAGTCGTCTTCGGACGGCCGGCGACAGGCTTTCCGGCCATTGCGTAGTATGAGGGGATGGTATGTAACCGTTGGGTGGTTGTGAGTCGGTGGTTGGGTTCAAGTGGGCGTGTGCGACAGCGCACCCCGACAGATCGACCCGCGCAGCTGTGGAGGAAGGGGCCGAGGGCGAGACTTGTCGCGTGAGGGCAGGAAGATGATCGCCGTTAATTCTTCAAGATGCGCCATTGGGACAGTGACGATTTACTGGTAAAGGGCGCCTCGACGAAGCTTGTCGGTCGCCATGTCGTGATGTGTTTTGAGTGATGATTGCTTGTAGGTTGATTGTTAAGCTGGCGCCGCGCTGTTTATCCAGCGCGTGCACCATTAGGTATATACCAACGCCAAGACGAGGAAATCTCGGCGTATTAAATTATACGTAATTAGTACGCATTACGCCAAGACCAAAGTTCCAAGCTGGCAAGCTGTAAGACTAAGATAAAGATATAATTTAATTTTTAAATAAAATTATAATGGATAAATAGAATAAATAGGTATTGATTTCTATAGGATTTGAATTAAGATGGACTTTAATATAACATTTTTTCAGTTTTTTTATTATATTTCCCTTACTATTCGTACCATTGCAGCTCTTGGTTTGGACCTGCGTTTCTCTTCGACAGATGGCACGGGGATGCTTAGCAGTGACCAACGTTCACATGCAATGTCCGGTCCCCTGACCAACCTTGTCGCGAAACGTTGAACGGAACTCTCTGCTGTTGCTATAACGATGCGCAAATCAATTGTTCCTCAACTGTTGCCCTGACAAAGTTAGCACCTGCCAATTGACTCTTCAAAGCTATCCTGTGTGTACCTATTTCTTTCATAATGGATCAATCCCTCTCTGTTTCGAAGTCGGCGATGGTTTCAAGTGCAAGAAGGCGCAGGACTCTTATCTTATCGCTTCCATGTTGCAACGCAGCATACCCCTGTACGTACCTACAGGTAAGGTAGCTGCAGCGGGCCATAGCCGCTAAAACAGCCCCCTGGCTCTTGCATCACGGCGAACTTTGTCGAAAGACCGTGGGTTTTCGTCACTGCATCCACCGGCCTCGATTCTTCCCCCATCCCCACCCCACCAAATTACGCACGTCGACCCATTGTTCAACCGGGAGGAGCTCTCAACAACCTTTACACCAGACCTCGAATCCAAGACAAATCACATATTCGCGACTCGACCCATCACTCCGTCGCAACACACACACACACCACATATATACAACATACACAATGCTTAGCTCAACAGCAACAACGATGCTCCGCGCGGGCGTTAGCCGGTCCTCCGGCGCCCTCCAGCCCATGCTCCTCCGCAGCGCCGCCTGCCCCTACTCGCCCTTCTCCATGAACAGCACCACCAAGCTCCAAAAACCGACTACTACCTCTGTGCGCACTCTCTCGACGACACCTTCTGCCCTCGTCCTCCGTTTCCGCGCCCAACAACAAGCCCAGCAGCAGCTTCGCAAAGCTTCGTCTACCACCCGCCCGCGCTCCGATGCCGAGCTCGACGCCAGCGCTGCCGAGGCCGCCGCCGCCGCGCAAACAGCCGCCCACGCCGGGGAGCCCGTGCTGGATTGGAACACCTTCTTCAAGCTGCGCAAGACCAGGCGGAGGGTGCAGCTGGTCTTCAGCGTGATCATGACGCTGGTGACGTCGGGAGCCGGAGGCGCCGTTCTGAGCACGGGAGTGGCCGACAGCCTGGTGTCGCAGGTGCCGCTTGAGCCCATGTTTGCGATCGGCCTGATGACGGCCAGCTTCGGTGCGCTTGGTTGGCTGATGGGCCCTGCCATGGGCGGCATGGTGTTCAACGCGATGAAGAGCAAGTACAGGAGTCAGATGGCGATCAAGGAGAGCCAGTTCTTTGCCAGGATCAAGAAGCACCGTGTTGATCCTAGCGCTAGCTCTATGGGTAACCCTGGTAGGTTTTCTCGTCGCTGAATCATATTGAATGGACCGGTGCGTATGGATTGTGCTAACATGAGGCTGAAATTAGTTCCCGATTTCTACGGCGAAAAGATCTCCAGCGTTGCTGGCTACAGACAATGGCTCAAGGACCAGAGGGCTTTCAACAAGAAGCGCACCACCGTTTGAACACATCAATCAGGGAACATTGGATTTGCGTTGTGTTCGACTTCTGGCAAACCGTGACGAATTGGAAGAAATGATATCATGACTTGACATCAGGTCGTGTGACAATGTATGAGTACAGATACCGCAGGGCACTGGTCGGAATATTGGGACTGGCTATGTGTCTGTCGATGAAGGGACCATTTCCAACTTCAAGGGAGGTTTTGTGTTATTTATATATGTGCATATGTCTTGGTCACCGGCGGAGGAGCTCGTCATTGAAAACAAAGTGACCTGTCTCTTCAAGCCAGACAGACTGCGGCTATAGATACGGGAAACTTGGATCAACCTGTTCCTTCCAAGCCTTCATTCCCCCAGCAATATCCACAATCTTCCTCTTCCCTCCATTATCAAGCCCCATCTCCTTCAACTTCTCAACCGCCTCCTGCGAGTCCAACCCCCTTCTACAGACCACATATATTGGAACATCCTCTTTTCCCTCCTCGATCTTAACCTCTGGCGGCAAAATATCCCCTACCTGTGGCGTCTCCCCGCCCCGCTTAATCTGCGCAGCTTTACTCAACAGCTTCCCGAACGGCACATTAACCGCGCCCGCGATGCTTCCAAAGCTGAAATGTTCCTTCTCCCTCGTATCCAGCACCACATACTTCCCTTTTCCACTATTACCGTCCTTACCCTGTTGTACCCTCTCCACAAACTCCTTGGGCGTGATCCTATCCTCTTCCGACAGGACATGCTGCTTTGGCCCCGAACTCAACCCACAAAAAAATTCATAGTTCGGTTCTCCCCTCTTCACCCCCTCCAGCGTTAGTCTTCCTTTGCTTCCCTCGCCACAAGCAAAGCAGCTCTTCTTCCTCGGCGCCATCTTCAGCGCGCGAAACGTGAACGGTGACAAAAACGAAGTAAGTGAGTACGAATAGAGCAACAACGTCGGTTCCACCGGCGCCTTTGGTGGTGTTGTTGAAGGAACATGCAACCCAGAAGCCAGAATCTTGATGGCCTCCCCCGCCTGCGCGACGCCCATTAGTCCCACCACCGGACCCAAAATCCCGGCCTCGCCGCACGACAGCTGGGCATTAGCCGGCGGCGGTTTCTTGAAGCAGCATCTGTAGCAAGGAGGGTATGGCCCGCCCTCTAGTAGACCTTGCGGGGTGGGAGGGCAGTTGAGCACGATTATCTGCCCGGAGGTCTGCACGGAGGCCGCCGAAACAAGGGGTTTTTCAAGGAGCACGCAAACGTCGGAAATCAGATAGCGCGTGGCCGGGTTGTCGGTGCAGTCGAGGATGAGGTCGTATTGCGCGATCAGGTTGGCGGCGTTGAGTGGGCTGATGTGGCATGTGTGGGCGACGTAATTAGGCAAAGGGTTGAGACCCTTCAGGTGGGTGATGAGGGAGAGCACTTTGGGCTGTCCGATACGTGAGGTGGCATGGCCGACTTGGCGGTGCAGGTTGGAGCGCTCGACGATGTCGCCGTCGACGAGGCCGATGGTGCCGATGCCGGCGCCGGCGATGTATTGCGCGGCGGGGCAGCCGAGACCGCCGGCGCCGATGATGAGGACTTTGGCGTTTAGGAGTCGGAGTTGGGCTTCAGTTGGTAATGCGTGTTAGTGACCAGGTGTGGTTTGTTTACTTTGGTTCAGGGGTAACAGTTGGTTGGTTAGTCACAGAAAGTGACGTGGAGGGAAGTGGCTCACCTTCCTTGCCCATTCCCGGGACGATCATTTGACGAGAGTATCGGTCAAGCTCCTCTTCTGTAAGAGGACGGCTCGTGTCACGAGGGACAGAGCTGCCTGAGCCATTTTGGTCCGTGTTGGTATCGCCGTTCTGCATTATTGTTGTGTTTGGGGGAAGATAACTTGGAATGAATGGAACCAATGTGCTAAAAAGTCCCCGGTTAGGTATCGTGTCAGTGATAGCAAATGCGGGGCAGCTATCGCGAGATCAAAGAGCTTCCGGGTTCTGGTAGATGGCCTCATCAGCTACCGAGCAACGTTTTAGAATGCTCACTAGGAGTGGTGATCAATATGTGCTTCAACTCTTTATACTCGGCTACTTTGATCTCTCTTCGCCTCGTTCAGATGAGATGGTAATACAAGATGCTGTGAAGAAAAGGAAACCTTGAAGTCGTAGGGCTGAATCAACCCCACTGACCACTGCCGCAGCAGTCCTTCTTGGCGCACAGCTCGGCCCCCTGTAGAGGTAGCGGAGGCGTGGGCGGTGACGATTTTTGCATGTTCACGCCCTGGCGTTATCGATTAGCAGCTCCACTCAAAAGTCGATTCTGCCCATCACTCAATCCTGGGGAAGGGAAGCGTCGTGGTCCGCGCGTGGTTCAACTCCATCCTGTCCCCATCTTGTTGAATCCAGCCAGCCTCTACAAGTATATCATCGACCCTTGAACCACCTCGCGCGCGCCTACCTCCCATCGCATTCTTTCAGTCCAGCCCATTAAGACCACAGAGTCAGTCCAAAGAAACACAACCACCATGGTATGTCCTGCTTAACCAACAGATCAACCGGCCAGCCAACCTCCCAACCAACCTTTAACCCCCAACCCAAACTCCCCCTCATTCCAGCGCTTCGCACAACGAAAAAAAACCTCCCTTCCATAGACGACTACCACTAACCCCAACAAACCAAACAGGCCCCAACAGCCCCCACCCCCGGCAAGCGCCTTTCCGCCCGCGAAAAAGCTCTCAAGCGCCTCGCCGACCCTTTGCTCCCTCGCAAGCTCCACCGCGAAAACAACGTAGTCTCCGACTCCTTTATCGACTCGAAAAAAGACAAGCGCACAATCAAGCACAACGCCTTTGTCTCTCGGATCGCCAAGACCGCGCCTGGGTCCGGCAAGATTAAGAAGCGCAGGCGTCCTTCCAAGCAACTGGTCACGAGTTTGGAAAGCTTGGGCGATGTTTTGGGGGAGATTAGTGACGAAATCCGCGAGGACCAAGAGAGTGGCAAGACGATGGATAAGATGCAGGAGGCCATGGGGAGGGTTAGGCATAAGTCTCTCAAGACGAGACCGGGGGCGCTGAAGAGGAAGGAGAAGGTGGTGAAGACGGAGATGGATCGGTTTGGAAGGAGTTTGGCGCAGCTGGCTACGGTGAAGGAACCTGCGGTGGCGGCGGCGCCGGCGCCGATGATGGAGGTAGAGAAGCAGACGACACAGACACAGACAGCGCAGACGACAACACCACAACCGGCGACGACGAATAGGTGGGCGGCGCTGAGAGGGTTTATTTCTGCTACTATGGAGCAGAACCCTGCTTTCTTGGGCAAGACGGCTTGATTGAATGGTCAATGCCCTTTATCCTTTGCGGTTACTTGGTTGTTGGGTTCATGGCGTTCGAGAGGCATATATAATGCACGATTTCTGTATCTTTTTTATTCCAGTTTCTACATCGACTAGAAGGTATACAACCCTATGTTTCATTTTGCTCCATTCGCTACAAGTGGGACTATCTTGCGATACCTAAGAAAGACTGCAAAAGCATGAAGAGCCACGAGGACTGCTATAAGTAACTCGGTACAGAGATCCAACCAAAAAAACCACGTTATAAGCCATATACACACGCCTGAAAAGAGGCTACAATGCCATACCTAATGCAAATATCCCCCTCCTATGCTAGATATTCCATCAAGTTTGCACGCCTCACCTCCTCGAGCCTTCAGCGCCAGGAGGGAGTCGTCCACTTACTTTGTGATATAGTTTTCTTCTTCCATTTGATCACCTCTGCCCCAAACCATTATGCGCGGCGCCGATGTTGTTTACTGCTCGTACGAAACTTGAATCCTAAACGCCTGTGAACGCCTGCCTCTCCGCCATCAGTCTGACGCCGCGCTTCGTGCTGGTAGTGACTCCTTTAGAGGGGGTTGTTCATCTCCATGATGTGACCCGAAAAAGAACTTTTCCCGTTGCACGCAGTGGTGCGGAATCTTCCCAGTGGAATAAGGGTTCCTTCCATGCTCCAGCTTCTTCCAATTGGGGCTCCTTAGACGGGGTATCCTAAAGCATGTTGGTTTTGTCTGCCTGTGTGAATACAGTCGAAACATCTGAGACAGGCGGGGTATCATCTGTCCAACACACACACATACACACAATCAACAACAAACAGACAAGCTGGCTAGCTCATTTGTCTTGCACATTTGCCCTCGCACAACTACTCAATGCGGGGCGGTGTCTTTGACGATCCGGATTTCGACGATGTCGACATGGGGCTCAAGCTCCGTCTTCGTTCGCCTTCCTTCCGTAACGACTCGATGATCTGCATCATCTCCTTGCGGCCGCCCGAGCTGTCGATCACCTTGTTGGCCATGGACATGGACACCTTTTCGTTCGAGTTGGCGTTCAGGAGCCTCTTGATGAGCAGATGGCGCATGACGATGCAGACGTAGACGCCGCAGTCGCTGCTGTTGCCCTGCTGGGGCGAGTCCTCCATCTGGTGGAACCGTAGGGGCTGGCCGAGCACCCGGCCGAGACGTTCGGTACACTTTTGGGCTTCGTAAAAGTTTGCACCACCGAGCGAGTCGTAGTGGAATGCAACACGGTCGATGACGGACACGACGAGCAGCGACCAATGGGAACCGCCGTCGGCGCGCTCGCGGTCCCGGCTGTCGTTGACGGGAAGGAAGATGTGCGTCGTTTTCTTGAAGTCTGGCAGGGCGCTGCCGATGCTTTTGAGGTCGATTGCTTGCATCAGGAGAAACGTGATGCTAGGTCGTAGAAGGACGATGTGGGCGCGCGGGTACTTGGGGAGGACCTCTCTCTCGAGCCATCTAGAATTACGGGTGTCAGATAGGGGGACCCGGTGTAGGAAGGGGTGGAAAGTATCGGCATGTGTAAACAGGGACATACTCTTCCCAAAAGGCAATATTCTAAGATCAGGTTAGCGACCGACAGTGACTATGACATGGGGAGTAACTTACGTTATCGGTAAGCCAGTCATATTTGAGCGAGACGATATCGTCACTCGTTACTAATTACCCCCAAGTCAGATCGAGGTCAACAGACTATGCCAGACCGATCCACATACGGAGAATGTCATGGTAGGAGAGATATGGTTTTGAAGGCGTGAGCTAGACGGATTGTTTTTGTTAGCCAAAGTTTTCTTCTCCAGTAGCGCGGTGATGCGCCTAGTTTGCGCCAACTCGTCATCCCGCGATGTCAACAGCCGCAATCCTACAGGCAAGGGCGGCCAATTCGGATAGCTCGACAACCTATTTCTTGTATCAACCAGCAACTGGCCGAGAATCGCGACTGGAAGCTATTGTTCCCGTGGCGCCCTGGCGAAGGCGGCTACTCGGTCACTCCAGATCGAGGTAGTACCAAGCACCAACACCAGCCCCAGCTTGCTTGCTCGTCGTCGCCTTCTAACCATGAACCTCCAGAACTTGTAAAAGGAACGGAACGGGACGCGGGTTGCTCACTGAATCTCCAAAGTGTTTTGTGATCTTGCGCCGGAAGCCTGGCATTGTGATTTATTCGGGGTTTCGGAAAACCGCAGGACAGAACGGAGTGGGTCAGGGTATCCGAAGGACGGGATCTGAACGGGATCGCTGGTATCGCGGGAAACGGTATCGGTGTCGCTAATTGGGTCGGAGCCTCGGAATGTACAGTAGAGAATTGTTGAAGTGGTTATCGTCTTTCTTTGGAACGTCTTCTTTGTGAGATTTGGTTGAATCAGCCGTTGTTGTTCGTATCAGTTTGTGTTTGCTGTCTGGGGCTTCGGAACTGCAAATTGCGACTGGGAATCGGGACGAGGTGCAATGACGATGGAAGTCTGAGAAATTACCGGATTGTTGTCTTTGGAATATTGCCACAGAGACACTGGCTCCAAACGCGCGCGCAAGAATTGGAACACTGGAAAGTCGGTTGAAAGAATGAAGGGCACCACTTGGTTCAGACCGGGGACTTGGTTGAAGAAAAGGCTAGCGGGAACGACCAATGCATTCAGTTGGTGGACGGGTGTGGTGGACAGCCTGAGACCTGCCTGCCCGCGCCCCGCGCTGCTGAGAGTATGGGGTAATAACTTGAAGTTCCCACTTGGTTGAGGGTTTATAGCCCACCAATATCTGCTAAGAATCACTCCCGCTTTGTGTGCATACACTAACAATCCCATTGTATGAAGGCCCACCCCACCCGTTAGTGCATCGACAGCGCCCGCCTACCTACCTAACGCCGACATTACGGGAGCTGACTGACGTCTACCCGTGAGTCTTGGAAAGGCACAGTCCCAGGATGTGAACAACGAACATCAGACAATCATCATGGGTGGTCATTTTGTTCTAGATTTCTATACTGTATCTACACCGGTCTCCGAGCGGGAGTGAAGAATGTTGCTCCCCTACCATGCTGGTTGAGGTGGTGGCCCGAGTACCCTGCGGTTCCTGCCCTGCCCTGTCCCTTGACTCCTCCATTCACGGGGGCTCTTTCACAAAGTCGTTCTCGTAATAATCGATTCGAACAGCAACCTTGAACGAAAAGAACGAACGAACGGGAACTCAAACTGACCAAACCTGGGGCACGCTAACATCTGCGAGACTGCGTTGGCAAAAGCAGCCAAAGGTTTTAGAGGGCACATCGCGATGGCCGAGCTAAAGACGTCATTGGGCGAAAGTGCCGTGAATCTGCATGTGCAGATCGACGCCAAGCCTGTTCGGTAGGGACCGCCTTATCGTCCACCTTATCGCTGTTTTGCTGATGTTTCGAGTCCCGTCCGCTCAGAATCACAGTGGGCCACGGCGAGACTCGAGATTATGCCCTTGTTGAATGAACTCGAAAGACGATCGGTTTGTTTACTTCGTACTATCCCTATTACCAGATGAACGAGGATAGTCAAACCAGCTCGTGACTTCCGAGAACGGAAACCCCAGCTTCTGCCGAGGGTGACGACGATAAACCCGAGTGTCCACTGGCCAGACCAGCACTGCCACCATTGGCTTGCGTCTGACATTGAGGCTCATTTCAACCCTATGACCCATTTGGGACGAACCTCATTGTAACAAACTCGAGTCATTCAGTTCCCTTGTCCGAGCGAGACTGTACGTCGAGGCTCTTTACTGCTGTTAATGCTCTGGGTCATTAACGTCTTCGATTTTCGTCATTCCAGCAAGTGTTATAAGAATCAAGCAAGTGTCCTCGAGTGTTGTCTTCGGCGCTTCTTCCCAAGAAAATGGTTGCTTTGATTACAAGTGCCATCAAAACCATCCCATTTTAGCTTCGGCAAATTGCCAGAGTGGTCGATGTGATCTTTGGAGCTTTCGCTATGGCGTGAACGATACTTCCGGTCAGTCTATTTCAGGCTTGATATCAATGCCGGTAGGGCTGTTGGTAGGACGCCGGTCATGGAGGGCATTGGCTTTGATATGCAGACGGAGCGACATACGCGCTTGAGGCGCCCTTCGGGTACTATACACAGCGACTATTCTTTGTCCGCGTCCGAGTGCCGTCTACCTACGCCGGTCAAGTTTTGCAGGCATCGTCACGAGTAGTTGTGCAAGTTAAGAACCGGAAGGCACTGTGGCGTTCGAGTTGGGAGTTAGGACCAAAGGTATGGATGGCATGGTGAATGTTGATGCACATGGTTCGAAGACTTTGTTCGTCAACCGGTGGCCGGACAAAGGTTGCCGACCACAGGCATCAAGTGGAAGCATTGCATAGGTATATGCGGTGCTAGAAGCCCGGTAAACCATAAATTGCACCTTACAGGCTTGCCTGGGCGTGAATTTCTGTCTCCCAGCACACCTATCGTTCATGCTCAAATATGTGGCCCACAGGATATAGGTAAGTATAATTATCCTTACTTCCCCCGACTCCCAACCACGTGCCTTCGACCCTCAACCATCGTCCCCAAAGACAACCCAGAATAAGTCACTAGACGATACACGACTGACCCTCCTTCCAAACGACAACAAGATGAGACAACCCCAAACCCGCATTAGCATTCACGCTACCCCTATGGCACTTTCTTCTCTCATCCATCATCGCGCCAGCAGCACGGCCGCGAGGATGAAGGCCGTCACAGTATCCTCGAGGATCAGGCCCAACCTGCCGCAACCCTCAGCCCAAGACACACACACTATCAGTTTGAACAAAAGCAGATTCAACGCCATTCCCAGTGTCAAAACAAGAAGGGACCGCCTTGACCTTGACCTTGACCTTGCCCGCCAGCAGGCAAATGGTTCTCTCTCCCACTACATGTCCCATTCTTATACCACTGGCATCGATAGTACCTCCATGTCATCACATGCACTAGCAACAACCCGCCTCCATCCATTTACGGTCATGATGCTTCGGTATCAGACGCTTGCAGTCAGGAATAACCAGGTTCATTACCCCGAGGAGGAGGTTCAGAAGGGCAGAATGGATAACAAGGAACGGGTCGACGGTCAAGGAGACGGTACCAAGGAGGAGCACAGCGAGAGAAATATGGGGTTGAACAAGAGGGAAACTAAGAATTAGGAGTTCTCGCTTCGGTCTTTGCCTATGTATGTTTCTCGGAGGGAGTCCGTTATAGCATTTTGTTTGGTTGTGCAAGAAGCGATCGTGGGAATGGCAGGAATTACGACTTAGAGTGCCCGGGAAGAAGGGAGGAAGTTCCGACGTCGTGGCCGTACAAAGCACTGAATGGCCTCCGAGGACTGGTGTTCTTGGGAGAACTCCTGTTGCTGAGATTCCAATCTTGACGGCAGCTTGGTGAGGAAGGCGGTGTGGTGTACTGCACATCAGCGTTGATTTACCTGTCGGCATTCACTTTGTAGACCGCGGAAGCGATACGACATGAGTTCATGAAGAAGAATATGGATTCGGCCGGCTTCATTAGGATCGTTGTAAGTACTCCGGCCATCACATCGTCAGTCTCTAAATTCGTAACTTCATCCTAGCCTTCTTGCACTTGTTCCGACTTTATTTTTTCCTGATCGCCAACCTGAACTCTCCCTTGAGGTGGCTGAACGTCTTGATGATGCTGTCGGGCGGCACAATAGGGTGGTTCTTGATCATCAGCTCATCCAGCCTCGATGGCTTCATGACGTGCTCCTCGATCTTCAGCCCATTAATCCTCCACCTCATGTAAAACTCCGTCGAGGCCCCAGATGGAATCGCTCTTTGCGGTGATGGGAATATCTAGCATATGTCGAGACAACCTCTGCGAGCCAACAGGATGAACCAACCCGCTCTAGTTATTCGCTGTGCTGTTTGGTGTGAAGGCATAGTTGGGAGGAAAGTTGATGCCATTCGGTCCAACGGTGATGTTCCTGTCAACCTTCTCAATCGCCCAACAATCTGTCGCAGCTTTTCCTCTCCTTCAGCTTTGACTCTCCTCAGGTTCGATCCGTCAAGACCTTCTGCCGATGACTTCATCTTGCCGTGGAGTCAGTCCTCTGGTGTATTGTCGAAGGCGATAAGAGTATCGTAAAGGACAGGATGCATCGCGCTGGCGTGCAGTTCAGGACGAAGCCGGGGCGACGGGACCAAAAACTCTGACGATCATGTCGTAGTGATATTTGGCGATGGGGACATCTTGATCCCAGTCGTGCTGCTGAAGAGCTAACTTGACGTGACGATTGTCGAAGGCGGTCAGCGCAAGGAGACATATAATCCTGCCCTCTTCAACGTGCCAGTCCGCACCATGGCAACCTCCGCACGAGTCAACGTCCCAGGACTCAGACATCTCGTCGAGCACCAGATGGTGCAGCAAGCCATTCTCCCACAGATACTCGCGCAAACCCGAATTTCACAGCTCAAAGCTGTGGCGGCCAGTGAGCAGCGCCAGACCAGGGCCAGGTAGAATGTGATAATAGTTTATCACCCGGTCGGTGTCCTATTTGGGAGAAGCCATTGTTGCTTCGGCACTTGGCTAACGCTGGCTTTGGGAATGTGGTATAGTAGGTGATGTGATCTTGAGGCGAAGAGTGAGGTCGCTTGACCTCGATGCTGAGGCACTGTTGGCGATGAGGTCTTGAAAGAAGAACGAGGACGCTTGACCTCAATGCTGAGTGACGAGTCTCTGAGGTTGCGGTGTATTGTGAGGAGAAACTGATATTTTCTCGCGTTAGCAGGTTAGCAGGGGCTTTAATGAGCGCGTCGCTTGCTTGCGTAGTCAAACGGGTATGAGTAAGGAACGAGTAGCTAGGGCAAAAGCTGGAGAGAGGACAATGAATGCCATGCGTTAAGGTTACTTACGTTGCGATTGTAGATGTTGGGTTGTGATCTTGATCAAAGATGGGTTCCTTGCTTCGAAGCGCGAAAAGGTAGAGGGCGATGTGGACTTGTAGACGAAGATACACATTGCTGGTGAATGGACACGATGGCTGTTTCTTGCAGAAGTGAGATCAGGTTTTTAAGGTAGTGCTGTCGTTTGTGGGAGAGAAAAAAACGGCTCGTAGTGGGGTATATGACCAGAGTGTCGTTATTGTTGTTGTTGTTATTTTTAACGTCTACTTCCGCCTCCCGTAGGACATGAGACGTGCCACATCGGTGAATCTCGCGTACAAAGATAAGAGCAGTACCCTAAATATCCGCCAAAAGACCGTTAACCCGAGGGCAACCCGAGGCCTATTGCCAGTATAAATCATGTATTGCCCGTAGCGTAAATGCGGCCCAACACCTCCAATCGAATCGCCCAGTGGGCGAGGTATGACCAGAGTGTCGTCAGAGGGAGAGGGCAAACGGGATGGCAGGCAAAAGCGGGAAGGTCACTCGGGAGGTCCGCCATGAATTGTGCAAACTTTCAAACCATGTGGCTTTCTGGTCTCCGTACCTGTTTTCTACAAGCTTCGGAACTTGCTTACGACGTCTGATACGTAAAGGAAATGGAGCCGGGGATATATGTATTTATATTCCTGAACTTTCAGGCTCGACTGTGGCTCCCTGCAGCATCAGACACGGTATATGAGATTAAGACCAGCGCAAATCGCAGGCCACAGCTGGCACAACGCACTCAATAAAAATTAGAATGTCGTTAATAATTACAGGCACCTAGTTCCGGTCCTACCACCAGTCGCCAGTTGACCAAAGATTCGCACATATGACATGACTGACTGAAAGCTAACACTTCCCCGAGCAAGACAGGTACTTGTTGGCAATCAACGGCAGAAAGATTCCTGGAAAACGACCAATATCACGAAACAGTGTAAAAAGCAAAGGATCAATCAACGTAATCGCTGTCCGACTCACAGTGTGACGACACCTCAATAGGTTCTTGAGAACTGCCAGGCAGTGGCTTGCCAGCTGGAGCACGGTTCTGCTTCGAATTGCTCAGTCCGTCAGCTGCCTGACCCATAGCTCGCGAAATCGTCTCCGGGTCGTCTTCGACAAACTGAGCGTCAGGCTTCTGAGTGGGAAAGCCTAACTCGTCGTTGCGAAGACGCTCGATGAACATGTCTGCTTCCGCATTGATCATCTGGAGCTTCGTGGTTGAAGCATCAGAATGCCCAATCTGTTCGTAAAGTTGCGACTTGAAAACCTCTACGAGGTCACCCTTCTTTTTGGCTGGATCCTCATCTTGGGTTGTCGCGCGTGAAGACTGTTCAACGCAATTGCTAAGGTGCTCGTCGCAGAGCCGGTTCAACGTCTGCGAGCTTCTGGCATATCCCGGCTTGCAGGTGCTCGCCAGTATCTTCGAGATGTCAAAGGACTGCAATCGTTCTTGCAGGTCTCGGACATCTTGCCAGGCTGTGTCGAACAGGGAGTACAAGGCTTCGGTTACGGCTTTGTGGTTGTCGACAGTGGTTTGCCTTTCAGTTTGATGACAGGTGCTCATCTGCTTGAGTAGCAGCACTGAATTCTCCAAATATTCCTTGACAATGTCATCGACGACTTCTTCTCTCGGTTTGAGTGCGCGATGTAACATCTACAGGAAGATCAAGTCAGAACATCAGATACAACAAAAAGGCTTAGGGACGACGGAACTTACCATTCCTATCTTGTGTACAATCGCATATGTAGACTCATCCTCCGTTTCCCTTCTCCAGACTTCTTCCGGGCTCGTTTCTCCGCTTTGCTCCGAAAACGCCGAAGCACTCCCTTGGCTTAGCGGGTGCTGAACTGGCATTCCTCCAAGTTCATTTGTGAGATTGGCAGCATGTGGCAGCGAGTAGGCGGAGTCAAAATGCTGAGCGGAAGCGGGCACAGGCAACCGGTTGTATGAAGGCTGTTCGTGTAGTGTGGAAGCTGGGTTGGGTTGCGAAACTTGGCTTTCGTAGGTGTCAAACCCATTGGGGAATATTTTCCTAGGCGGCCATGGCGCTGCTCCAGGTTCTTGATCATCATCGTAACCAGGCCCTTGACCCATGAACAAGGGAGAACTCGAGCGCACAGAGTCAACGCCATAGTGGTCTTCTCCACGATCGGCAGGATGGGGAACGAGGTCTGGTTCGGGTGTCTGTCTGATGTCGTGGGTCTGGTGTTGAGGTCCTCTCTTGGCCAACTTATCCCACACATGAGCGATATGCGTAGGAACAAGGTCTTTGGGGGCTGGCAAGTAGGAAGCATCCTTTGGGATACCTTTGGGTAGATCATCAACGACATGATGTACGAGCCCTGCTGGCTTGCGAGATGGTCTCTGCTCATATCGTGTGCTCGCCACAGCTATCTCGGCAGGGGGCTCGTCGTTGGATATTGTCAGGGACCCAAATGCCTGGATTGCCTGGTCTCGGTAGATGGGCTGTGTCTTGGTCTTCTGAGTTATCTCGTGAGGGGGACGCAACGTCTCCTCCAGCTCACTCGGACCTTGGACCCCGGTGACTGCCGACTCTTGCTTCTCAACTCTGTTGTGGTAGGAAAGAGCGGACTCTTCCAGATAATGAGGAGTCTGAAGCTGGTTGCTTGCGAGGCTGCGGTTCTCAGGTCTGTTATGATGAAGAGGGGTTTGTTCCTCGGGCTCAGCGGGAGTTTGGACCTCTGTGTCTGTTGGCCCGAGTCTTGCCACCTCGCTGTCTTTGGTAGCAGGTTCGGCATTGGCTGGACTGGCTTTCCCAGTGCGTTGAATCTTGGAAGGCTGAGCTCCTGATGTCTTGTTATCGCGTGTATCCGAGCCACTTGCTTCCGAAGTCTTGGTTCCTTGTGTCCGTGCCGCTTTTCGCTTCCTGGGTATGACAGGAACCAGAGCAAGCTTCGATTGCCGATTGTCTTTCTCGATCTCAGAGGGTGAAGAAGAAAGAGTGGTAGTCTGAAGCTTTTGGAGGGCAATGAGTTTGGAAATCCGAGGAGACCTCCGAACGGCAGAGCCAACATGCGGGGACGTAGAATCAGTAGACTTGTCAGGATCGTTGGGCAGGGTTGAGCCAGCATCTTTTCTGGACTTGAGCTTTGGTTTGGCTTGAGTCGGACGGGTCTTGGTAGGCCTTGTGCGGGACGAAGCAGAATTCCATGGCATGTCAAGGGTCAGTGGAGGAGTTTTGCTCTGAGTCTGGGCATCAGTCGCGGGTTGGGTCTTGATTTTGGACTGTATTGGTGTCTCCTTGATGGGCTCAAGATCATGTTTCTCAGGTCGTTCCCAGTCAGCAGGGAGCATGTCCGCCAACGGATCCCTTCTTTTTGGATGGGGGCCATTCATGATGAGTTCCGGAAGAGAGTCCAGATAAACCAGGCCATTAGCATCAGAAAACGTCGTGAGTCTTGAGGGGCTTCTAGCACGGCGCTGAGGGGAAAGGACTGTCCAGATCTCGCCGCCATCGACACGTATCAGGCTGACAGAGTTCTGGGAATTTGGAGGCAACCACTGCTCCATGTCGGAAGAATGGTAAAAAAAGTGCAGAAGAACTGCGCGGCCGTGATCGCCAGGTTGACCAGGGTCGTCAAGTTTGAAATGGTGCGAGAATCTGACCCATCGGTACACGAGAAGTGCCGGATCACGGTGGCAGAGAAATTTGGTCAAAAAAAAACTTTGTCTAAATTGTGCGCTGCGCACATCGTGAGGGCATCGGGAGGGCAGAGGGCTTTCCGACCTATCCTTCGCTTCGCGCCTTCCCATGTTCTTGGAGACATATGGGAACATGACCTAGAAGGAAGGGACGATTGAGCGACATATGTTTCCCCCTTCAGTTGAGAAGGAAGTCGCGCCCCAGGGAAATCCCCACATTATGATCCGACCATCGAAGACGTGCAATTGCCATCTCAGGTCGATGATGTACGACCTGACGTTGTGTTGGGCTTTGGAAGCCATCCCACTCAAGGACTACTAGGAGATGGTCAGGTAACCCGAATGTGGGACAGGCAATGATAATGGAAGCACAGCGCATCGCAGTCTTCAACAGAGTACTCTGATGATTTTCGCGGACCGGGACGCTAAACGGGGAGCGCTTCGGACTTCGGGACCCCATCTCTGCCGGCAAAGGATGCAAGTCAAGTCATCTCGGGAATTTATCTTGTTGTTGTCACCGGATTGCCCCGTTCCGATTCGGCATGGCCGACAAGTTGCTTTCCTCGCCGGCGTAGGGTTGCATTCGATAAGCTTCCTCCAATCAAATCGATTAGTCAGCAGTACGCAGTAGTTCATGTACCTTGACGGATTGTAAATCCAACCGAATCTGACGACGACACAGGACACAACTCCGGCTTTCAACCACAAACGAGTCGGTCATCCCATGTTTTGGTTGCCTTGAACCCTGAATCTTATATACTTCAAAGCCATCTAACGTCCATCTTTCGCCATTTCCATTGCCATCACGTCTTTGCTGGCTTCCTTTCAATTGGTTCATCTCCATCTCTTTCCCTTACCCATCAGCCATCTGCGCACGGTCGATATCCCGACCCAGCGAACCCAAGCGACCATGTACTCCCGAAAGGACTACAACGCGACAGAATGTAGCAGTAGCTGGATGTACACCGAAGACGATAAGGACACGACCTCCGCGACGCTCAAACACCTTGAATATCTTCCACCCTCTGGCTCTGCCTCAACCACGCCGCCATCCGCATTATCCTCACATGGAACTGTCCCACGGACCTCTCGCGCGCGTCTCTCCCAACCAGACGTCTCACCAACTCCCTTCCCCGATGAACCGATCCTACTTGGAACCGCCGCCGAGGCGAAGGGCGGCTCAGACCTCCCACCGTCATCTTCTACGGTCCTCTACCTCGCCTACGGCTCCAACATGTGCGCCAAAACTTTCCTGGGGATGCGCAACATCCGTCCCCTAAGCCAAGTGGTCGTCTCCGCGCCTTCGATCCGCTTGACCTTCGATCTACCCGGCATTCCTTACCTGGAGCCCTGCTTCGCCAACATTGCTTTGCGGAAGCTACCCAAGAAACCACCCGTGGTACCGATTCCCCCTCTGGACCCACCACATCTCCCGCCTCCGGGACAACCGAAACCAAAACCGCAACCACCGTCCAAGAGCTCCTTGCAAGAGGATGACTGGAACATGGACATAGGAGGTCTCATCGGCGTGGTCTACGAAGTAACAGCAGAAGACTACGCCCGCATCCTAGCCACCGAAGGCGGCGGAGCGAGCTACCACGAAATTTTGGTGCCCTGCATCGAACTTCCTGCTCCTGTGCGAATTCCCGAGCATCCACGTCCGGAGTTGCCCAAGCCGTTCCTGGCAAGGACGTTGTACGCTCCTCAGTTACCTGACCTGCCCGAGGACGATCCTAAGAACCCCAAACCCAAACCTCCTACCTCTTATTCCACCTTCACCGACGGCCCCAGCCAGCGCCAGCCTGACCACCCGCAGCGCCCCTCGGATCCCAAGGACCCCAAAAAACCAGAACTCCCACCAAAATGGCATCAACGCATCTCCAAATTCCTCCTCCCAATCCACCGCCCCCAAACCCCCTCGCCTCCTCAACCCTCCCTCCGGTACCTCTCCCTCCTCCGCTCCGGCGCCCTCGAGCACGAGCTACCCCCCTCCTACTGCCGTTACCTCGACAACCTGGAACCCTATACCATCACCTCTTGTCGACAACAGATCGGCAGACTTATATTCATGGTAATCTGGATGCCGTTGTTTATGATTGTGCTCAAGGTGACGAAGTTGGTGGCGGATGATAAGGGCAAGATACCCGGTTGGATGGCCGGGGGGATGGCGGTTATGATGCATTTTGTTTGGGTGAGCTATGATTGGGTGTTTAAACCGGTGTTTGGAGAGGGGGAGAGGACGGTTCATGATGATGATGATGATGACCACAAAGGTGGAAAGGGGGATGAAAGCGGGGAGGATGGAAAGGGGTGGGTGAATGGGAGGAAGAGATCGGGGTCTTTTACTTGGTTGAGTAAAAGGAGTGAGAGGGCGGTTGATGATGAAGAGAAGAGGTGTTTGTTGAGTTGACTTGGCACTTGGGAGGAGGATTAGTGAAGGGAAGGGTGTTGCGGATTGAGATTGTGTGTCCCGTGGCATTCATTATATAGCACTCTTCTCTATTCACTTGGATCTTACACTCGAACATGTATGACACGAAATGATCCATTACTCCGTAAGCTCAATACACCGTCCGTATACCGAATTAGCCTACACTACATATCCCGAGGAATCACCCTTTCCTATGTGTATATATGTTTTTGTGTCCTTTCATAGTATCCGGTACGCTATGGCATGCACTAAAGCCGACCCCGTATACATGATGAATCTAAAATCCGTTCCCCACACACCCCGGAACAACCCTCACCAACAGGCTCGATGCAGTGCACTTATAAAAGAAAAGAAAAGAAAGCACCTAAATAACCGTACAACGCCCCATTTTCTCAACCCGGACCGATTTTGCACCCTTTTTCTTCATTTCCTACTTGAAGAGCTTGGGAATCTCCTCGACCTTGATCTCCTGGTTGATGATACGCTCAACAGCCATGAAGACGGGGTAGCGCTCCTCGGCTCCCTTGGCACGGAGGAAGCTGCACACCTCGCGGGTGGTGGAGATACCCTGGAGCTTCTGGCCGTTGAGCTCCGTCTTCTCAACCTCTTCAATGGGCAGGTTGCGTTCCACGGCCAACTTGGAGCACCTCCAGTTGCGGGCAGAGGTGCAGCTCACAATCATGTCACCCCAGCCGGCACTTTCCTCCCAAAAAGTACTGGGCTCGATCTGGCCGGGGAAGAACTCGTTGGCGAAACGAATGGTCTCCTGCATACCGCGACGCATGACAGCGGTCTTAGCAGTCATGTTCCAGCCGTGGCCCTCGACGTAGCCACAAGCAATGGCGACAATGTTCTTGAGAGCACCAGCCAGCGAGACACCGACAATGTCCGACACCATGGAGACGGTGAAGTAGGGGCGGCTGAAGAGCAGGGCCCACTCATCGTGGTCCAGAGGAGGGTAGTCGAGCGGCAGAGGGGTGAGCTGCTTGGAGTGGCCATTGGCAACGTCGTTGCCGTTGGACTCGCCGTTGGCAACTGGCCTGCCGTTCTCGTCGCGTCTGTCAACAACGGGGGTATTGTAGGCAATGGTGGTCTCGCACCACTCCTCGTTGGCAATCTCGCTGGCAATGTTGGCACCGCTGAGGGCACCACAGTAGATGTTGAGGTTCTCGCTGATGTAGTTGCAAATAAGCTCGATCTTGTCGTCGGTGACCGAGACACCCTTGATGCAGCTGATACCGCGAGCATAGGGCGCAATGTGGTCCTTGATCTGTCTGCAGATGTTGCCAATGAACTCGTGGGGAAGGTTGAAGATGAGGATGCTCGAGTCCTTGACGGCGTCTACCAACGAAGGGTTGGCGACAATGTTGTGAGGCAACGGGATGCCGGGGAGGTACTTGACGTTCTCGTGGTATGTGTTGATGATGTGGGTGAGCTTCTGCGGTTGCTCGCCGATCGAGGCATCGAAGTGCCTGGAGTCCTTGGGGAGGGTCACGTTCTCCTCGTAAACCCACATCTGAACATCCTTCTCGAAGGTATCGGGGTGCTCCGCGCAGTTCTCGGCGACGAGCTTGGCCACAGTGGTGCCCCAGTTACCGGAACCGATAACGGTAACCTTGTGTTTCTTGGTGAAGTTGTTGACGGTCATTTTGGCGAATTGCGAGTATCTACGGACAAGGAAGTGTCGTGTGTTGTTCGGAGGAGGGACAAGGGAGGCTCTACTACTGCGGCTGGGCCAGAGGGACAAAGCGGGCTCGACGAGTGCGGCGGCACGGGCTGCGGGTTGGGGGCTTTGGAGAAGTTGTTGTTGGAGAAGAGGAGAAGTTGGGTTCGAAGAAGCCGAAGACTGTACGTAAAACGGACGGCGGAGCGGTGGGTGGGTTGGCGGGGACCAAAACGATAGAAGCGGTCCTTGTAGACAACGAGAGAAGACGGCGGCGTTTGAGCTTGAGACTCGACTTCTGTAACGGGCCTGATGGAAAAGGGGTTGTCCGAGACGGGGACAGTTCATCTGATATACGGAGCAGGAAGAAGAGGAGAAAAAAGGAAAAAAAGAAGAGATCACAAGAGCGAGAGCTAACAGATCTGATATGTGGTGTACAACAAGAGGAAGGCGCTCCAATGACGCAGGAGGAGCGCGGCAGCCGAAGTCATTCGCTACTGTCACGCCGCTCAATGCCCTATCAGAATCTCAACAAAAAAATCGTTCCCGTAGCGCACTTTCCCACCCTCCATTTCACACACGCCTTGCCCCGGCAGAAATGGAGACGGCAAGCTTGTGAAAGTCACCAGGGGGGTCGTCAAAGGCCTGGATGGCCTGGCTTGGATTGCAATTGCTGGAATGCTTGAGTCGCGCCCATGCTTTCCAGAAAAGTGCAGCGCATTCCATTTTCACCTCGGCCGAGCACCTCGGTCTACTTCCGTCTCGGCCACATCCGATGCTACATAACGAGAAAAAAAAAGATCACCGTTGACCAGGACCAAGCCTCGCTTCAGAGACGTTGCGACATTGTTATCATTGCACCGAGGCAAAATAAGGGTCAAATGAGGCCATCAGTTCGTGGACGATAACATACAAAATGGCCATAGCACCCCCTTCCATTGTTTGCCAGATTTGCCAGAAGACTTTCGAAAATTTTAGGCGGGCACAAGCCGGAATGGTTACGTAGGGTCCATGCGGGGAACATGGCGGGGTTTTGGAGCCCCTTTTTCGGTTGACACTGCGAATCCCGTCCTGTCACAGGACTAGGAGTGATAGAAGCGCTGAGGGCTCCACAGAAATCCAGTCTGGATTCTGCTAGAAAATCTGGGGCGCCTGGATTCTGATCATCCTGGCGCCCATCCAGAGATCATGTTGGGCTTCGTCCGGCTGGAGTGCTGGCGTCTCGGCTTGAGGACCGAAAGGGGGTCGGTCGGTCGGCGTGTGAACCTTGTCCCGGACGGGCATGCGGTTGATGTCTGTCGTTAGGGGCATGGGGGGTTTTTGTAGAGGAACCGAGTTGCACGCCAGGTCCCATAAAAGCTTGTTTGATGGAGTTACCACGTCCGGACGACAGACCGTGCTCGAACAACTTGAACCAAACCGCCGGGCTTGCTTGCTTGCACAGACATAGTGCCGTACGAGTGGTCCTGACAGGACGGGAACGTCACCAAGGTCTCGATATCAGACATTACCAGACGTCATTACGCCCTGCATAATAGCGACGCGAATAATCTCGACTTTGGGCCAGTCCAAAGAACCCCAAACTGTCGCTACTGTCCAAAGTTTTTCATTGATTCCTTTAACAATTAACAGAGGCTCGGGCGGTTCACGGACGTACACAGTACAGGTCTTACGCCGGGCTCCATGTTTATGTAACACCCCACCCCGGAGCCGGAGCCGGAGCCGGATCAGCCCGGTGAAGCTCCGCCCAATCTCCAGTTTAAGACCAAGCTCCGGAAGCCGTGCAATGACTGGGGCCCGGCCATCAAAAGTGGCCGTCGCATCATCTGCAGTCAGATAAGCAGGGGAAAGCGAGATAAAAGTGCCGATCCGATCGATCCAACAACTGTCATCCGATACCGTCACCTTCCGGATGCGCAAAGTCGTGGTGGTTTGTGCGCCTGCCAGACTCTTTTGGAGCCACGAGAGCTTCGGGCGCGGACTGAACGGTGATGTCATTGGACAGGGATATGGAATCGGCGCGGGGCAGCCCAATGCCACCCCTCAGTTCCTTCTCCAAGACGGCGTTTGACATGCCACTGGTTTGGAAGTCGGCCGATCTTTGAAAATTCAGTGGGCACGGCAGAAGTTTCTGCAGTCAGGTCAGTTCAGGGTCTGGACTGAAAGAGCACATCAGTTCAGTACCCAACTTATACAGCGGCGGAAGCTTTTGGCGATATCATCTCTCACAACCTCGCGGGCATTGTGCAGGACGAGGAGACACCTTCTCCAAATTCAAAAGTCTACTAAGGGTTGCGTGGCACGGGTATGGTAGCAACTCTAGCCAGGCCCAGGATTAGGCCGACAGAACACGTACTGTACCTACCAACGAGCCTAAACCGAATCCATCTAGCTCCCACTGGTTGATATCGTCATCGAGTTGGAAGGGGGAAGGAAAACCGCCCCGCTTCTTTTTTGCGGTCAGCATCCGTAGTGTACACTTGCGCCCAGACAGGACGTCAAGGAAATTACTTTGTGATTCCTTCGAGACATGGGAGCATCTTTTCGCATGAAGCTGAAAAACCGGCCGTTGGGCGCCATGGGCAATCCTCCGTCTGGCTTCGATCGGACCCGGAGCTCACTGCAGCGAGCGGTCTGCAATCTGAATGGTCCGCCTGGCCAAGCACGTTGCGACGACGAGTCAAGGATCTTCAGGCACAGACTGTCAAAACTGTCAAAACTGTCAAGGCGTGTTTAATCGCCAAATTTGAAACCCATCATGATCAAGATCTTAAGGAACGTTCATGACAAGCGAGAATGGCATCTCCATCCAGTCCTCTCTACAAAGGAAGGAACCCGTCGCAATATGGTCAAGATAAAAGAATGGAAAGTGTCTCGTCGTACAACACCCACAACACCCACAACACCCACATCACAACTGAATCCCCATCTCATCCGTCTCTTTCTTTCTTTACAACCAAGTTGCAGCAACCTCACAGCAGTCATACCTATTCGCTGTCACTCCTGCATTTCCGTCTGTCATTGGACAAGCAATTGATTGGTGTGGATCAAACTCGCTCTTGGCATCAGTCTGGCCGTGCTGTTGAGTGAGTGCTCTCACGACCTCCATCAGCTCACTTGAGTCCCTTGTCTCGTCTGTCACCACTTGAAGCGGCAGGTCCGAGGTGGTGTTGAACACGGGCTGGGGTGGCATCGCCAGTGTTGTCGTTGCTGCTTGTTGCTTGTTTTCTGACGGGTCCTTTCTGCTCTAGACTGCCGTTCGGT